ACCGCCTTGGGGTCGTACTTTGCGAAGAAGACCTTGCCGATCCACTTCTCGTCGCGGCACTGGAGGAAGCGCAGCACAAAGGCGGGCACACCTGTTCACAGCTGGAGGTGTGAAGAGGCGCTGTTCACGCTGGAGGAAGCGCAGCACAGAGGCGGGGCACACCCATGACCTCTTGCGTTCCAACCACCTCGACCTTGCCGGGGGTGCAGCTCATCGACGGGCCGCGAGCGGTGCGGCAGAGACCGGACGTGTTGCGGATAGCGTCGGCGTAGAGCTGCTGCGCGCGCACGAGTGGCACGTCAAAGAAGGCCTGCGCGCCCGTGTCGCGCGCCATGAACATGTAGTACGGGACGATGCCGAGCCGCACCTCCTCGCGCCACTTGTCGGCCCACACCTGCAGGCAGGGTCGGGGAGGCGTGAGAGAGGCGTTGCCAGCCGCGCCCTCGCGCCCCGGTGCCCCTCGCCTTCGCGTCGTCGTTGATGCCGCGCATCACCGGAGACTGCGAGCGGATGATCACGCCCGCCTCCTGCTTGAGGCGGTGGATGGCGTGCCGCACCTTGTCGGTCGACAGCTCACGCACGTGGCCCAGGTGCGACATCACCGCGATGTGCCGCCCGCCCACCTCCTTGACCTCGCGCAGCAGCGCGAGGAGCTCGTCGGCGTCGGCGTCGGTCGTGAAGCGTTGCGGCCAAAACGTAAGCGCGCGCGTGCCGATGCGCAGGTTCTTGACGTGCGGCAGGAAGGTCGGGTCCTTGAAGGGCTCGAAGTACTGCTTGAAGACGCGCCTGTTTCCACACCAGCGGGCGTGAAGCAGCCCGCGTGTCGGTGTGTCGACCTCTCGGCGATGCAGACGGCGCGCGCGTCTTCATGATCATCGGGTCGCCGCCGGTGAAGAGGATGTCGGAGACCTCCTCGTGCTCGGCGAGGTAGTCGAAGAGCGAGCCCGCGTCCTTCTGCGCGAAGCGCAGGTCCGAGTCGCCGATGAACTGCGCCCAGCGGAAGCAGTACGTGCAGTACGCGTGGCACGTCTGCGCCGCAGAGGCGAAGAACAACACCGTCTCAGAGTACTTGTGCTGCACGCCCGTCAGCTCCGCCTTTTTCGGCGCGTTGAGGGCCTTCTGCCCCGCGGGGTGCGGGTTGAGCTCCTCGCGGATCTCCTCGACGGCCGCCTTGATTGTCAGCGGCTCCTTCGTGGCGCACGCCTCCTCGAGCGTCGCCCGCGCCGACGGCTCGAGCATGTCCATCGTCGGAAAGATGAGCCGGTAGAACGGGTCGGTCGAGATGTCGCCTTCCATCTCCCAGTCAATCTGCGGCGCGGGGGCGGGCGGCGCCCGGTCGGAGGCGCGCGGGCGAGCGGGAGGGCGCGCTGTGGCGCACCAGCTCCTCGACCAGGTAAGGCGACGCTTTGAACGGGAAGATGAGTGACGACATCTTGATGTCGGCGAGCTTGTCCTGTAGGCGGGGGAACTTCTCCGCCCAGGTGTCCAAGGACTGAAGCGTGATGGGCGTGAATCGCTCGTTCGTCTGCTCCACCTCGGCGCCGACCACGTTGGTCTCACCGGCCGCGGCGGCGAGTGGCTCCACCTCGGACGGCTGGCTGACGCTCTGCTGCTGCATGAGCGCGGCGGGCACGCGGCGATGCGACGACGAGAGGGCAGGAGGCACGCCGACATGCAGCGCAGCGGCGCCGGCGAGCAGCGTCAAGGCACATCCGTTCACCTTCATGCGTGTGATTCCTGTTCCGGCTTCGCCGGCTTGCATCCATCGACAAGCATCGCGCTGTTTCTTTTTGCGCAGTAAGTGCCGAAGAGCCAGTCCCGTGCCCAGTGTCGTGCGAGGGAGTTTTGTCGACCTCACGTCTCCATGCGCCCGTCAAGTCACTCAAGTCGGACCCAGTCTGTGGCGACCAAAAACACAATCGGAGTCATTCATTGTCACAAGGAATGAGTAGTAGCTTGAGGTACATGCCTCATGCGAGCTTTTCAGAGTCAATCGATTGCGCGACATCCCACACTGGTGGATTTTGGGGCGCTGTTTACCCCCTATTAATGGAAGTGATCTGTGATCTGTGAGGGTCCGCCCGCAGGCGCATTTTGTATACCGAGGCGGTGCCCGGTGCCGAACCTGTCGGACCTTAAGACAGCATTGTAGATCCCTGGGCGAGGGTGGTGGAGAGGGCAGTCCGGCGGCGGAGGAGCGGCAGCAAGGGGAGAGCAGACGGTCGCGATCCGCGCGAGCGAACATCGCGCACGCGGGGGTCAGGAGCAGCAGCGCGAATTTCATCGGGGCATCTGTGGAGGGCACGGTGGCGGCGGTGTGATCGGTGGCGATGTGTGAGAGCCTTCGGCGAGAGCCAGTGCTTTGTGTGCGCCTGTCAACTAGCCCAACAGCCCCTGCAGGTAGGTTTGCCTCTCATTGGCCGTCGCGAAGCGGTTCCACTCGTAGAATGGAACGCTGATCACCTTCCAGCCAGCCGCCGCGAGGAGGCGCCGCTTGAGCAGCGTCGGCCCGTTGGATTTGCGCACGCCCCGGCCGTCGGGCAGCAGGAAGTGAGAGGGGCCGTCCACCTCGATCGCGATGCGTGACGAGGGAAACGCCAGGTCGAGAGAGTAGCCGGTGTGCGGCTCGAGATACTCCTCCTCAAAGCCCGGGCCCCCAACGGCGGCGAGGACAGCTGCAACCGAGCGCTGCAAGCCTGATGGCCGAGCTATGGTCGCCACCATAGCGTCGCAGCAACGCTGGCGCTCAGAGGCGGGGAGGAGATGCTGCTGCCCGTCTGCTCCTCGCTCCAGGGAGAGCCAGAGCTGCCACTGGTGAAGCTGACGGCGGTTCCCGACGCTCCACGTTGACGGATCCCGCGCGAGCGAGTCGCTGATTACGCGCGAGCAGTCGGCAAGCAGCGCCTGGTGATAATGGTCTGCCGTCGCATACGCCCACACCGTGTTGGCTAGGTCCTGAGGGTTGAAGCCAGCCAGCCCGCCGCGCACCGCCGCCTCCGCCACCGCCGCAAAGAGCGCCTCTGTAGCCACGCCCGCCGTCGCGTACGCCCACACCGTGTTGGCCAGGTTCTGAGGGGTGAAGCCAGCCAGCGCGCCCCGCACCGCCGCCTCCGCCACCGCCGCGTACAGCTCGTCCGCAGCCACGCCCGCCGTCGCATACGCCCACACCGTGTTGGCCAGGTTCTGAGGGGTGAAGCCAGCCAGCCCGCTCCGCGCCGCCGCCTCCGCCACCGCCGCGTACAGCGCCTCCGCCTCCACGCCCGCCGTCGCATACCCCCACACCGTGTTGGCCAGCCCCTGAGGGGTGAAGCCCGCCAGCCCGCCGCGCACCGCCGCCTCCGCCGCCGCCGCGTACAGCTCGTCCGCAGCCACGCCCGCCGTCGCATACGCCCACACCGTGTTGGCCAGGTTCTGAGGGGTGAAGCCAGCCAGCCCGCCGCGCACCGCCGCCTCCGCCACCGCCGCGTACAGCGCCTCCGCCTCCACGCCCGCCGTCGCATACGCCCACACCGTGTTGGACAAGTCCTGCGGGTTGAAGCCAGCCAGCCCGCCGCGCACCGCCGCCTCCGCCACCGCCGCGTACAGCGAACGCACCACCCCTACTTGCAGCTGGCACTTTGCTACGCCGTGGGCGATGTTCGCCAGGCTGCGTGCCTCGCACGACGAGACGAGGTCATGCGTGCGCCGCACCAGCCGCTCAAGCTGCTCCTCGTGCCGCCGCTCGACGCGCTGCTTGCCCAGTTTGTTCCACAGGTTCGCAGCGTGGATGTGGTCCAAGCTCGCGCTGTGGGCAGCAAAGAGCGCGAGCAGTGCGTCAGCGCTGCCAGCATTCGAGATGTGGCTGCTGAGCTGCTTAGCGTTGAGCTGACCACCGGCAGCAGTGCGGCTAGACGAGGGTGGCTGATCGCGCTCATTGTAATAGTCGCGCTCGCGCTCGCTTCTGGACCGACGGTCATCGTAGCCGCTGGGGTGGTGGCACGGGTAGTCGGGCGGCTGGCCAGCCATGCCGGGGTGGCGGGGCGGAGGGATGTGGGGAGGGTAGCCCGGCGGCATGCCAGGCGACAGCCGCGGGCCGTACCCCATCCGCGGGTACCCGGGCGGAGGGCCGGAAGGCGGCATTGGCGCCCGCTGCGGCGGGCCGGGCGGCGGGCCGGGGGGAGGACGTGGCCCGTGGTAGCAGCCGTTGCTCGTCAAGCCATAGCCCGGCGGCATGCCAGGCGGCGGCCGCTGGCCGTACCCCATCTGTGGGTACCCGGGCGGAGGGCCGGAAGGCGGCATTGGCGCCCGCTGCGGCGGACCGGGCGGCGGGCCGGGGAGAAGACGTGGACCGTGGGGAGCGGCCGTACGCCGCATATTAATATCAGCTCGAGGGTCCAGAAGCACCCTCGAGTTGGTCGGCCATCCACGCTTCCATCTCGTCGGGAGATAGACGCCGTCGGGACAGAATTTTGCTATACCAGAGAAGGAGGGCAACACGACGCCCTCTAGGATTCCTACGCTGGGGTGCCGGCGCCACACGACGGGGCACGGGACTTGCACGCACTGGCACTAAACAGGTTCACCATTAGAGAGCAAACGACACTGGGCACGGGACTAGTGCGCGCTGACACTAACACGATTGTAAAATTCTTTTTCGTTTTTGCGCACTTCCTACAGAGAAGCTCAGAGAGAGGGCTACGAGAATCGTAATGCAGAGACCACCGCAGAGGAGAGCGTCGGAGAGCTCGCCCTCGCGCACACAGCGCGAGCGATATACGTAGCGTAGCTCGTGGGGGCTACGCGCTACGGCAGTGTTCTAGGTATATATGTGCAAGTGCGCCACGCACACGACTGGACTCTGGACGGCCGGTGTCGCGGTGTGCTCACACTTATCGCCCAGACACCGGTCACGCCGCCCCCCACCCCCACCCACGCGTCGGTCCCGTTCGCGCATCGCCGGCGGCAGAGCCAGAGGCCAGGGAGAGGGCTGCGTCCTGTCCATTTCTCGTGAGATGCTGCGGGGCGTGCAAAAGCCTCTCATAACCCAAACAAAACGGAGAGGCTGTTTGGGTTATGCGATGCGCCCGATGTGTGCGAAATAGAGCACGGCCGCGGTGCCGCGGTGTCGGGGTGGTGGGCAGCCTGCACGATGCATGGTAATGGGCACCGCCCTCCCGCCGAACTAGCACGACCCTCTCAGTTGTAGTGCGTCGGCCTTGCCTCCCCTTCCGGGACGTGCTCCACCTGCTCACAAGCAGTCGCACTCAGTGCGAGCCGCAGCCGGGCGGGCACCCTACCCGAGGTCTGCGGGCTAAGGCCCCACCGCCGCGGAGTCGAGCTCGGTCATCTTTGGAACCACCACCTGAGGGGAGGGAAAGGGGCCGAGGCGGCGGCGCGCGCGATGTGGGGGCCAGTGTGTGTGAAAAGGTGTGTGTGTGTGGGTGGGGGGGGGAGTAGCGGCCGGGGGAGAGCTGGGCCCAAGTCGCACCGTCGAGGTGATGGCGACGCGCTCGCACAGGGTGTACAACAGCCAGGCCGCGGCCGGGATGGCGATCGCACAGATGAGGAGGACGACGACAGCCGTGTCAGAGACAAACGATGGCGTTGAAGGCGGCGGCGGTGGAGGCGACATGACGCTGCACACTATCGTCTCCCCACTCGAGGTCTCCGTGCAGTACGGCGCGTTGCTCGGGAGGGGGCACCTGCAGCACGCCCGAGGGTCGCCGCTCGCCATCGCACGCACGCGCGGGGCCACACACATCCCGGTTCGGGAGAGGCCGGGGGGGGGGGGGGGGGGGCACCAGAAGTTGGAATAGCAGCAAGTTTTAGAGACGATGGAAATGAAGACCAAGTCGTAAGCGTTTTGGAGCGTGCACGTGCCGTTCTTGAGCCTAACGGTGCTGGGGTGGGGGTGAGGAGATAGAGCAGGGCATTCCGGGGGCAGCCACGTGTGGCTGCTGTGCGCGGGGAGCGGGGTGTGCGCCCTCTGATGTCGCCTAGCGACTCGGGCACGATCCTGTGGCGCGGGGAAGGAGCGGCGGGGCGGGGGTGGGAGAGTGGGTTTCGGGGAGGAGAGTGCTTCGTATGTGTGCTGCCACGGCGGAACCTCCCGCGTGCGTGTGGGTGCCCCTCCCCCTCTACTGCCCCTCTCGCGCGAGCCCTCAAGCTAAGTCTCCTCGCTCTCACCCGTAGAGCTTGGTGCGGTCCACGGCCAGGTACTCGAGGCCGCTGAACATGTCGACCGAGGCGGGAAGGGTGCCTGCGTGGGCGGGAACACCCGAGCCGCGCAGTCAGCCGGGCGTGCGGCGCGGAAGTGGCGGGCCCGCGAGGGGCGTCTCTGCGCCCGAGACGTCCGAGTTGGACAGGTCGAGTGTCTTGAGCTTGGGCACCGCCTTGTCGAGGCTCGGGATGGTGCCGCCGACCTTGGTCCGCTTGAGGTCGATCTTTGTGATGGTGTCGTGCGAGAGGCACTCCGTAGGCAGCGTGCCGGAGACCCGGTTGGCACGGCGGAGGACCAGCTCCTCGAGCTTCTCGCCCTTGCACAGCTCCTCCGGCACGCTGCCCGAGAGGCCGACCTCCTCGAGGATGAGCAGCCTGAGCGGCGCGGTGATCTTGCTCGGCAGCGTGCCAGAGATGCGCGTCTTCTTGGCGGAGATTTCCTGCGCGGCGGGAGGGGGGGGAGACGCGCTGGCCTAGCGTCTGGGCTGCGGCGTGGCGTTGTGGAGAGCATGTGGAGCAAGGAGGAGCGGCGGCGGAGATCCGAGCGGCCGAGGCAGCATGTGGAGCAAGGAGGAGCGGCGGCGGAGATCCGAGCGGCCGAGGACGGCGGAGCCGAGTGCAGCGGTGCCGAGGGCGGCGGAGCCGAGGGCGGCGGTGAGGAGCAGCGGCGCCTCGAGTGTGGGCAAGAGGAAGCACTCGGGCGGCAGCGTTCCTACGCGGGACACGGCCCGGGCCACTCGTCACCTGGGCCGCCCGCCGAGCCCGGACCTCCCGCCGGCGCCGCGCGCGCCCGAGAGCTTCACGTTGTCGTCGAGAACCAGTTTCCTGAGCGAGCCGTCCGACCTGTGGCACAGCTCGCCCGGGACCGTCCCCGAGAGGCGCTTGGAGAGGAGCGTCACCTTCTCCAGCGCGGGAAGCCGGCCGAGCTGGTGCGGAATGGTGCCGCTGACCTTATCGGTGGTGAGACTCAGCTTTTGGAGCGCGGTGAGCTGGGTCAGCTCCGCGGGCAGCGTGCCCGAGAAGGAGCGATCCCCCTCCTTGCCCAAGTCGAGGTACTCGAGCGTGCCGGCGAGCGGTAGCAGCAGGGCGCCGGGCAGCGTGCCGCTACCGCCAAGCTCGGTGCCGCCTCGGAATTTGATCTTGGTCAGGGTGGTGCCCGCTTTCCACCCTTCTTTTTGGCCGAGGGGCGGGCTGGGTGAGCCATCCGGCTGCGTGCATCTCACCTGCGCGCGAAGGGCCCGGCCGTGAGGGAGGGGAGCAAACGGCCTGCGGCGAGGGTGACAGCGCACGTCGAGAAAGGCGCAGCAGGTCGAGCTCGTGTCCGCGAAGGACGGCGATTTGTCTTTCGCGCCAATGGCATCGTAGAAGCTTCGGAGCGCCTTGCAAGCCTCGTTCGCGGCGGGGACGTCCGCGGGCATGGGTGCGGGTGTCGGTGCGGCGGGTGTCGGTGCGGTGGGTGGGGAGGAGAGCACGAAAGGAGCGAACATGGGCAGTGTACGTTTTCGACATGCAGTTAAGGTGATGACCAAACAGGCGCTGTTCACAGCGCTAATTTTGAAGTAAGTTTCTGAAAGAGAATCTCTTGGGTTTTAAAATTCTTTTCTTGTGCCTGTGTTGGTGCCAGTGCGTGCGCGCCAGTCCCGCCCGCGCCCAGTTGCAAGGTGCATGAGGGCCTCCGCCAACGCCAGAGCACGAAAGGACCGAGCGCTGTTCACAAGCTAGGAAGCCGCCGGATGTATGACAACAGGCGCTGTTCACAGAGCTAATTTTCGAAATAAGGCTCACAACCCCGGACAGCGTTCACGTAAACGCACAACCCCGGGCCCGAAATCGCTGTTCACAGAAGAAGTTTCTTTTTAAGGGTTGCCCGGCCGGGTTGCTGCGCAAAACTCGCGCAGGGAAGGCGAAGGAGCAGGGAAGGCGCTGATTTGGGCTCAACGAGGTTTTCCGGAAAACAAAAAGGAAAACAGAGGGTCCCCAGCACTTTGCGTTTCCGGAAATTTCCAGGGAAAACAGAGGGTGTTTGGTGCTCCATTCTGGAAACTCGCGAGTTTCCCTGAGTCTGAGAGCTGGTCTGGGGCAAAATCTGAGGCAAAATTGAGGAAATCGACAAAATACCCAGGCGGTCGCAGGGTAATTTCCAGGTATACGGGTTCTCCGCGAAATTCCCGGCATTTTGACGATTTGGCCTAGAATTTGGCTGATTTTGGGCCCAAACCAGCCTCAGACTCGGCTCGGAGCCAAAAATTTGACGATTTCCACGCAGTTTCCCCCGGAAAATAGAGAGGAAAAGAGAGGGTGTTGTAGAGAAAAAAGGAAAGGAAAACAGACGGGGTGCGAGAGGCAAACCTCGTTGAGCCCAAGGCGCTGTTCACAGAGCTAATTTTGGAAATAAGTCGTAGAGCCGTGCCGAGAATACTCGGCTAGGTAGGTAGAAAGGTGAAGAACAGCCAGGCTCGGCTTTGGTCCACCTCTTGCTCTCGTGTCTCGTCTCTCGAGGTTCTCGAGGTGGCGTCCTTTGGGTTTGGCAAACCCCGCTTTGACCGCGTTGGATGCGTGCACGTGCGGCGATAAAATTAAAAAAGGGGAGGACGAGCAGCAACACCGCACTTGGAGCACTTGGAGTGCAGTCGGTAATAAATAAATAAATTTAACCTCACATCACAGGTAGGTAGAAAGGTGAAGAACAGCCAGGCTCGGCTTTAGTCCACCTCTTGCTCTCGTGTCTCGAGGTTCTCGAGGTGGATGTCCTTTGGGTTTGGCAAACCCCGCTTTGGCCGCGTTGCGCCGCCAAAAAAATTCTTTTCTCGTCGTGGCGCACGAGGCTCGCGCCAAAGCGCATGGTGGACGCCGGCGTCCTCGGCGGCGCAGGCGAGCTCACCGACCGCGCTGGGGGGGTCGGGCTCAAGCAGACCCTCCACGCTCTGCTCGAGCGCATCACAAAGGGCCAGGCGCCACAAGCCTTCTTCGCAGCGCTTTGCACCGCGGATAAGCCCTGCCTGAGCGTCTGCAATCGTTCGTGGCGGCGGGGCAGCATCGCGTACCGCTGCCTGGTGTGCGAGGTCGATCCGTCGTGTGCAATCTGCCCAGACTGCTTCCAGGCGGGAGAGCACGCAGGCCACGACTACCGGATCGTCCAGGCGGCAGGCAGCTGCGACTGCGGCGACGAGGACGCTCTCTCCCGCACTGGCTTCTGCCCACGACACGGCGCCCCGCTCGGCGACGACGGACGTCCCGTCTACCAGCCACACCTGCCTCCGGACGTCTCAGCGGACCTCAACCGCCTTCTCTCCCTCTGCTGCCGGCGGCTGCTGGCAGACACGGTCACGGCGCTGCACGGCTCCGCGGGCGACGACGAGCCGGAGGAGGCCGCAACTCCCGGGGGAGACGCGCAGGCTGTGCGCCAGCTTCTCCTCGGCGCGCGGCACGGCGAGCTGCGTTTGGTGCGCGAGGCGCTGCGGAAGGGCGCGTCCGCCGATACGGTCGACGCGCAGCACCACTTGCGCCCCACGGCGCTGCACTGGGCGGCGCAGCACGGCTACGTGAGCGTGGCGAGCGTCCTCCTCGACGCCGGCGCCAGCGTCCGCTCCGAGAACGTCTTCCGCCAGACCGCGTTGCAGGTCGCCGTCTTCGAGGGGCACTCAAAGCTCGTCAAGCTGCTGCTCGACCGAGGGGCGGACCCCGCTCACTCGGACGCCGTGTTTGGATCTTCGCTCCACATCGCGCGGCACGAGGCGGTCCCGCGGCGGCGCGCAAAGACGCTGGCGCTCCTCGAGGCGGCGCCGGCCGGGGCGGCGGCTCCGCCGCCCAACGGGCTGGCGGATGGCCCGTCGCAGGGCCTGCCGGCCTCGAGCGGCGGCGGCAGTGGCGGCGCTGACGAGCAGCCGTACGGGCGACACTCTGGCGCGGTGGCGCTCGAGCTTGTGCGGGCGCACCTCTCTTGGCTCACCGAGCTGTGCAAGCACGGCGATTCCGTGCGCGAGGCGATCGCCGACGCCGCCAAGGAAGGGCTCCTCCTCCGCGTGCTCCTCGGGCTGCGCATCACCTGCGACCGAGACCTCCCCGTCGGGCCGCCGGGCGTGCCGGCGGGAATGGCCGTCGCGCAGCCGCTCGCGGAGCTCGACGAGCTGTGCCACTCGCTGCTGCTCTTCGCCCCGTTCAAGCGCGCGCTGCTCTCCGAGACGCTCCTCCTCTACCCTGGCCTCATCGGCCTCTCCCTTGTCTCGCGCGGCGAGCAGATCGCGCCAGGCGCGCCGGTCGCCACTCTCGCGCACCGCGCCGCCGCGGCCAGCAGCGACGCTCGGACGCCCGGCGGCTTCTCGGCCGCGAGCGATGGGGACGACGGGCTGCTCGCCGGCCTGCAGATGCAGCTCGGCAAGTCGCCCTATCTCGAGACCTTCTCGACGCGGCTCTTCAGCGGCCACGGCCCGGGCTCGCGCGAGGTGATGGCCAAGGCGGTGCCGACGCTGCTCGAGTCCCTCGCGTCGCTGCTCCGCGTGACGCTCCACCCGGCCGGGGTGGGCTGCCTTCTCCCGCCACCATTGCTGCCTCGTGCGCCTGCCGACCCCATCGGGACACTCCGCGTCGACACGTCGCGTTTCACTGCGGCCATGGTGGTGGAGCGCGTGCTGCGGCGCGGCCTCGGCATAGAGCGGCCGGTCATCACGCTGCCGCTCGGCGGCGCGGCCGAGGAGCAGGTGCTGTATGACCACGCGTCGCCCCGTGACCCGTCGTCCCCCTTCCTGTACAACGCACGCGAGCTCGAGAGGCCGCTGGGGGAGATCGACCTCGGCGATTTCGGCTCGGTGGAGGAGGCGGTCTTGCGAGTCTTCAACGGCCTGTCGTCGACAGAGCCCGACACGGCCGTCCAGTTCCGCATCGAGCACGACCCCGACGCGGTCACGCCTCACCGCGAGCTCGTCGATGGCGAGGACGTGCAGCCCTCCGGCGCCCAGCCCCGAGAGCCGTCGGAAGCGCCGCTCGGATTCGTCTTCAGCACCAACCGGGAGGTTGCCGACGGCACGGCATCCGAGGCCACCGCCACCGCCACCGAGCCCACCGAGGCTGCCGCCTCGCCGGCCGCCGCCGAGGACGCGGCAACCACGGTGGTGAACGCTGGGCTCGTGTGTGGCCGCCACTTTGTGCTCGCATCGCGCGGCTACGCGCAGACCATCACCGACTTGCGGCACGTGCTCTCCAACCCGGAGTATGCGCTGCAACTGCTGTCGGCTCTGGCGCCGGCCGCGAGCGACGAGAGCGCGCAGGGGCTGCGCGCCACACGCGCGCCTGTCGCCTTGGCGCTGGCCTCTCCCAAGGCGAGGGAGGTGCGGAAGGATGGAGAGGCCGGCGGCGCGCCGCCAGACTCGCCGTCCGATCGCAGCCTCTTCGCCTCCTACCTCGAGCTGCTGGGCTGGGTCCAACATATGGGGCCGATCGCCCGCGAGGAGCGCGACCTCGACGCAGCGCCGCGCGAGGACGAGGAGGACTCCTCGACGCTGCTCTGGCTGCACGGTTTCTGCCTCTCGGTCGAGCTCTCCTCCCTCACCACGCCGCTCCTCGCCCCCCTCGCGCCCGCGCCGGCCGCCTCCAACGTCGGCGGCGAGCCGCTCTGCCAACCGTGCAATGGGCAAGAGCCAAAGGGGCAGAAGCACGAGGCGATGCTGCGCTCGTGCACGCGCCTTGCTTGGGGCCAGCTGGCCAGCTGGCTCGCTTCAGCCGTCGTCGTGACCGATGCGGATGCCCCCGCCACGCCGGAGCCGCCGCACATAGACGCGCTGCTGCCCGCATGGTCGTCGGACGGCGACTTGCGCGGCCCGCCGCTCCTCTCGCACCAGCTGCCGCTCCACCGCCTCGTGGCGCAGCTGCTGCAGGTGGGCCTCGCGCGCGGGATGGCTCCCGAGGAGCTGTTGCGGCTCACCGCCGCGCAGGCAGTGGTGGCGATGGAGCACCCTTTGCGGCTGCAGATGCTGCCGCTGCAGCTGCGGCTGCGCGGCTGGTCGGGCTGCGGTCGCTCGCCATGGGCCGCCAACCAGTTCTACCGCGGCCGCCTTCACCGCGAGGCGGGCTGGGCACGCGATATGCTCCTGATCCAGGTCTGCGCTTTGGCGCTTGGCCCAGACGCGTTCGTGGCTCGGCTGTGCGAGCGCTTTCCTGGATTGGCCGCGGGGACGAGGGAGGCGGCGCCGTCGGAGGTGTCGCACGTCTCTCTCGAGGAGCTGCTCTGGCTGGTCCTCTCCCTCTTCAAGGATTGGGCCCTCTCGGGCGAGGCGGCGCTACGGCGGGACGTGGTCCATCAGCTCGCGCTCGGGCCGATGCCGCATTCGGTCCTCACCCGTCGACTCGAGCCGCGGTGGGCCGAGCACCCGCGCTTTGCAGCACTGCTCGCCGAGGTGGGGCGGCGGACCGCCTCCGCCACGGGCGGTCGCTACGCCCTACGCACCACTCTCTGGCGCGAGGTTGACCCGACCTACCCTTGCTACACCGCCGAGGAGGCCAAGCACGTTGCCGGCCGGCTGCTCAGCATCGCCCCGCACCGGCTGCACAGCTCGCCCGGCGGCGGGCCGACGCCCGAGGGGCGCACAGCTGGCGCGCCGCCACCGACGCCGCAGGTCGGCTCTCTCGAGCTGCCCCCCTCGTGCGTGCCGCAGCTGCACGTCGCCGCGCCCGTTTTGCAGCGGCTGCCGCGCCTCGGTCGGCTGCTGCTCTCGCCCCTGCTGCTGCGGCTGTCGAGCCGTGTGCTCGCTGGCGTGGCATCGTCGCCAGTCAACGAGTCCGCCCTCGCCAATGCTCTTCACCTTCTCGTGCTGGGTGCGCAGCTGTGCCACGCCGCGCTCGCCGCCGCGCCGTCCCCGTCCGCGACACCTCAGACTCCTGGCGGAGCGGCGCCGCAGCTCCCTGCAGCCGAGGCGGCTTTCCTGGCGGCGCTGGCCGAGGGGCCTGCCGCCGCCAGCGGCCCAGCCGCCAAGGCCGCGCCGACAGCCTCGGTGATCGCGTGCCTCTGGCGTGTCGTGAACGGCTCCTCGGCCAAGAGCATGCCTCTGGCGCGTGCAGCGGCCGAGCACTGCCTCAAGCTCGCGACGTCGGCATCGCCGGCGTGCGCCGCCGCGCTCGCAGCGACCAAGCAGGAGGCGGCAGCGCGAGTTGGCAACGCTGCATCGGCTGAGCGCGACGAGCGGCGTAAACAGGCACGCGCAGGGCGCGCACGCATGATGCAGCGCATGCAGGCGGCGCAGGCCGCGTTTGCCATGGGCGATGGCACAGAGGACGGCGACGATGCCGACGGCCGGGGTGGTGGCAGCGGCAGCGCGCCGCCCCCCGGCGCCGCACCGACCCCGTCAAGCAAAGCGGCGGCCGACCGGCGCGCAGCGGAGGCGGCCGGGCTTTGCGAGCTGCTCGGCGACCCGGATGCGTGCTGTGTTCTGTGCAAGGAGCGGCTCTGCGACGAGGCGGCCGCCGGCGGCGGCTGCTCGCTCGGCGCGTGCGGCCTGATTGCCCGCATCGGGCCACAGAGGCTGCCGCTTCCCAGCAACCAGCGTCACAGGCAGGAGGTGGTGGGGAAGCTGCTCGCCGAGGGTGCGGCTGAGGCGACGGCGACGGCGACAAGCAACGGCGACGCCGGGGCCACTTCATCCACCGAGATAGACCCCAAGTGGGTCGCAAAGGCGATGAGCCAGGCCGAGTCGGACGATCCAAAGCTGCCGGGCGCGGACGACGGTTCGCCCTCCCGCAATCGCAGCCGGAAGCGGCCGCGTGGTGGCAACGGCAGTGGGCGCGGTGGCGGCAATCGACTCAACTCGCCGATGGCGTCGGCCATCGCGCGGGGAATTGCGGCGACGCGCCTTGGCTCGTTGAACGGGGAGACCGGCGCAGGCGACTCTGGCGACGAGGGCGCCGCTGTTGGTGCAGCGCGCCGCCAGGCCATCCTCGACTCGGACGAGGGCCGGATGCTGCTCGAGGCGGGGGTGCCCATCGATGAGATCCTCGCCAACCTCGCTGGCAGCTTCGCTGGCCAGGGCGAGGCAGGCAGCAGCCGCGCGTCGGGCAGCGGCGTGGCCATGGAAGAGATGGAGGAGGAGCGGCAAGCGATCGCTCTCTCCCTCGCTGAGGCGGAGATGGGCGAGGGGGGTGAGGAGGAGGAGGAGGACGGGGAGGACGGGGAGGAGGACGGGGGGGAGGAGGAGGGGGATGGGGAGGGGGAGGAGGGGGAGGAGGGGGAGGAGGAGGAGGAGCGGCGTGGCAGCGACGAGCCTTCGTCGCGCGACTTGCGGCAGCAGCGGCGCCGGCGCCTGAGGCGGCGGGTGGAGGCGCAGATGGAGGATGTGCTCGATATGGCGATCGAGCATTCCGCGCCCGGCGACAGCGCCCGCGACGGTGACGGCGGTGATGGCGATGGCGCGGACGGGGAGCAAGACGACGACAGCGGCATGAGCAGCGAAGAGGAGGCGGAGAGCGACGGCGCCACCCCGGGCGCCGTCGACCGTGACGGTGGTGACGACATGCTCTCCGACGAGGACGACGTCGGCCTCGGCTACCGGTCGGAGTTGCTGCGCGAGGCCGAGACGTCGCTCCTGCAGCTGCTGCACGGCGAGATTGACGACGGCGGGCTCGGCAACGGCGGCGGCGGCGGGATCGAGACTCAGCTGACAATGATGATGAACGAGGACGATCACTCGCTCGGGTCCGACTCCGAGGATGAGGACGAGATGCTGCTCGGCGACGCCGAGGGCGGCGGCGGTTTCCTCCCCGAGCAGGCCAACGGCGCCGGCGTCGAAGCCTCTCCCGGCGCGGGCCGCTCGTCCACCTCGGCTACTCGTGCGCTCCGCGCCTCGGTTGGGTGGCCGCTGCCCTCCCTCGCGTCCCCGGGGGAGGCTGGCGCGGGCGAGGCCAGCGCGACGATGCGGCGCGAGGGCTCGCTGCTGTCGCGAACGAGCGTAGGCGCGTTCATCTCGACTTGCGGGCACGCGACGCACGTCTCCTGCTGGCACGAGTACATGTCGGGCCTCCTGCGCCGCGTGATGCAGTCCGATGGCTTCGAAGGAGAAGGGCTCGTCCGACCGCAGCGCGGCGAGTTTGTCTGCCCCGTCTGCCGGCGGGCAGCGAACGCGTTGCTCCCGCTCGCGCCGTCGGAACCGCCCGCCGAGGCGGCTCCCGAGCCAGAGGAGCCGGCGGAGGCTGAGCCGGCGGAGGCTGCCGATTCCCCGACGCCGCCGGCGGCACTCGCCGCGTGGTCGGCACGCGCGCTGCGCTACTCCGACGAGAATGGCACGGCGGGCGAGGACGCGGTCTTTCCCCTCTGCTCGCGCGAGCTGCGCGCGGCGATCGAGCATTTTGGCGTCGTCGCGGCCGCGGTGCATGGCGGGCTGCCGCGGCTCGGAACGCCGCCCCACGACGCGCGCGCATTGCTCATGCCCGCGGCGCTGCTCGCGCACAACGCATCTGTCGCTGAGCTCTCGAGCCGGACTTCGTCGCCGCGTGATGCGGCGGTGGACGCTGGGCAGTCTGGCCAGTCGGACGCCGAGGCAGCGGCGGTGGGCCTCAAGCTGCGCGCCCTTTGGCGGCTCGCACGCGCGCGCCGCCGGCCCGTGTCGCGCACTGCAGCCGCCCTGCTGCGCTGCGCCGCTGCGTCGTCGGCCCCGCCTCGCGGGGAGGAGGAGCAACGCACCCTTGCGGGCAACGATTTGGCGGTGAGCGGGACCCCAAAGGACGCACCACCCTCGCTGCGCGCCCAGAGAGAGAGAGCCGCGCGCCCCCGTGTCCCGCAGGCGCTTCTCGTCGTCGAGCCGTTTGTTCTCTTTGCCGAGCTCGTCGCGCTGTGCGGCCTCGGGCCCCGGCCGGACGGGCACGCAGGCCCCGTCGCTGCACCGCTGGATGCGCATGTGAGCCATGCCGCCGCCGCCGCGCTCGGCGTCTCCGTGGCGCAGGCCCTCGCCGGCGCTGCCGCATCGGGCCGCGCCACTGCTGCGGAATGGGGCAGCGCACTCGCCGGCGTCGCCGACGCGCTGACGGACGATTCGGCGTCGTGGTCGCGGCTGCTCTGCGCGTGCAGCGGAGAGCTGCTCTGGCGGATGGCGCACCTGATCGCCGCGCTCCGGCGGCAGCCGCCGCCCGGCCCAGCCACCGGCGCCGAGGCGGCTGCCGCCGCGTGCGCCAGCGTGCTCGGCGTCGCCGGCGGCTGCGTCGCGGCCTTGTCCCTGGTCCAGGCCCTCCTGCGGGCGGCTGCGTGCGACGCGCCGCTCCTCTACCAGCGCGGCGCGGCCGCGGTTGCCGCCACCGGCTTACCCACTGCTGCTCTCGTGGCGGCACGGGGGAGGCCGCCCGCCGCGTTGCTCCGCACATCGCTGATGGGCTGGGAGCTGCCGCCGCCGCCGCTCGGCCTCGTGCCTCTCCCCGCCTCGTTCGAGGCTTTCTTCCACGCCACCTCGGCGAGCCGCTGCCAAATCTGCCGCGCGACGCCCGAGCACCGCGCCGTCTGCCTTGCCTGCGGCGCGACTCTCTGCGGGCTCGACACGCCACACGGCTCGAGCGCGATCATCGAGCACACCGCCACTTGCGGTGTGGGCGTCGGCCTCTTCATGCTCACCCACAACTCGGCCGTCGTGCTTGTGCGCGAGCGGCGCCTCCTCTTTGTCGGTTCGCCCTACCGCGACGAGCATGGCGAGGTGGACATCGGGCTGCTGCGCATGAAGCCGCTCACGCTGCACGCGCCCGAGTACGCGGCGCTGTCGCGCCAGTGGCTGAACCTCAACTTTGACGAGTCGGCGCGCGGCGAGGACGAGCTCCCGCTCGGCCTGTGATCGAGGCGCGATCTTTTGCCCTGGCCGCCGCGCTGTTTGCACGCCCGTGCGTCGCTCTGGCTCTCGCACGCGCGCATTGCGAGTGCCGGAGCTGTTTTGTGCTTTATTTTCGTTGACGGCCGTGAGGACGCGTGAGCCGAGCCCGAGGGGGCGGCGCGTCGCGAGAGAGCTGAGAGGTCTCTCTAGTCTCTTTTCTGGTGGTTGTTCAAGTGTCGCTGAACTCTGATGTCTGAAGACCTAATCGTACACTCCACAGCGTGCCCCGCCCCCCTGAAAATCCGCACAATCCCAACTCAACGCGCAAGAGCACATTGCACAAAAACGTTCTGCTAGAGAAAGAGAGCACTCCCGAGTTTCCCCTGTTGCCCTGACCGACACGGCGCCGGTCATGATCGTCCTCCCGTATTTCTCAAGCTCGGCGGCGCGGTCCCAGAGTTTCCGAGCAAGTCGCGCGCAGAGGAGGTGAGTGAGCGGCGCAAGCACGGCACCGAGCCGCGGGCGGATACCGAGCCCCTCTCCTCGATGTCGCCAGCCGTGGGCGGCGGCGGCCGCTTCTTGGGCCAGAAATTGGCCGCGTCGGGCACGCACGCCATGAGCGCGGGGATGGTCAGCTTGGTGGTGATGAAGCAGTCGATGAGCACGCCGATGCAGAGCATGAAGCCGATCTGGTTGAGCACGGGCGTCGTCGACGCGAGCAGCGCGCCGAAGGCGAGGAACATGATGATGCCGGCGGCCGAGATGATGGTGCCCGCCTGGTCGAGCGCGGCGATCACCGCCTCGCGCCCGTCCTTGCCCTCCTGCCAGTTCTCCATGACCGAGTCCATCAAAAAGATGTCGTAGTCGAGGCCGAGCCCGACAAGCACCGCGAGCGCGACCGAGGGCGAGATCCAAAACAGGGAGCCTCCCGCCGGCGCGAGCGCCTCGAGCCCGAGGAACTCGAGGTAGCCGAGCTGGTACACCATCACCGACGCGCCGATCGCGACGACGAGCATCCACGTGATGCACACCACCGCGCGCAGCGGGACGAGCGCCGTGCCGAACGAGCCGCCCAGGATGACGCAGATGATGGCGGCGATTGCGAGCACGACGACCGGCATCCGGCGCAGCGTGTACTGCGCGCCGTCCATTTGCTCGAGCGGCATACCGTACGCGAAGACTTCGCCGATCTGCTGCCCCTCCCACTCGAGCAGGGTGCCGCCGCCGCCCCCCACCCCCTCCCCCCCTGCCCCGACCAGCTGCTCGCGCAGCGTGCGCATCCACGCGTTCCCCGTCTCCGAGAAGAGGTCCTCGTGGCAGTGGGCGTACACCTGCGTCGCGTTGTGTCCCTGGTTCGTGAGCACGTCGCCGAGCATCGTGAACTGCGCCGCCAGCTTCAGGAAGGGCATGATGTCGATCGGGCCCAGGTTGTAGCCCTCTGCGACGCAGCCGCCCGAGAAGGTCATCAGCCCGACAAAGTCGCGCGGCTCCATCGTGTAGTTGTGGCCCTGCGCGGCGAGCGCACTCGTCACGTTGTGCGCGAGCGACTGCAGCATGTGGCACGTCGCGATCGACCAAGCCTTGTTGCCCGTGATGTCGAGCGTCGTCCCGTCCTCCTGGGTCGGCGCCATGATGAGCAGCTTGACGGGAGTGGTCAGGTCCTGCCCAAAGGTGTCGGCGAGCTTGATGAACGCGTGCGTCGCGGGGTGGGACGTCTGCATGAGTGGGGTCAGGTCCTCGACGTACGTGAACTCCTTGAGCGCGAGCGCGAACGGGACCGCCGCCAGCGCGAGCAGCACCGTGATGAGCCGCGCGTGCCGCTGCACCCGCAACCCGAGTAGCGCCCACACGTCGCGCTGAGGCGCTGCCCCCTCGGCCAAGTCCGCGGCTGCCGCGTCCGAGACCCCCACCGCCGCCCCGATGGGCAAGCCCGACGAGCCGGCCGCCGCGACGTCCCCCTTTGACGGCGCGTCGGGCGCCGCGCGGCTCGGCAGCGCCGCCTGCGCCGCCAAGCCCGGCGAGCCGAAGGGCGTGTCGTCGAGCGAGAGCCCGTACTTGCGGCTCGAGGTGTAAAAGCGCGGCGCGGCGAGGAGCGTGGTGGGCGTGAGGGTGAGCGTCACAACCACCGACATGCAGACCGCGATCGCGTTGCCGAGCGCCATCGAGGTGATGGTCGAGGTGGGCAGCGCGAGCATGGTGCAGAAGCAGAGCGCGAGCGTCGCGCCCGAGACGGCGATGGTGTGTCCGGCAGTGAAGAGGGCGACGCCGAGCGCGCGGTGATGTGGCCGGCCGAGCGCACGCTCCTGGTTGAAGCGCGAGAGCAGGAAGAGCGAGTAGTCGATCGACATGGCGAGCGCGACCGCCACGAGCATCGGCGGCGCGGTGACGACGACGGGCATCACGAAGGCAGCGATCGGGTACATGAGCGCAATGGTGGCGGTGATGGCGCACAGGATGTTTGCCGTCACGAGGGCGAGCTGCCGCACGTTGCGGAGCATCGCGAAGAGCACCACGAAGGCGAGCATCGTCGCGACGGTCGAGAGGGCCATCCCATACTCGACGCCCAGGATGATGTCCTCGAAGACATAGGGCGTCGAGACGACCTGCAGCAGCACGTTGCACTCCGACCGCCCCGTCTCGATGCAGTCGTGGGTGCGCCTCTCGCGGTACTCGGCCCAGTCCTCGCTCAGCGCCGCGACCGGGTCGCAGAAGGGCTGCTTCTCGAAGACGCACTCCTTGTAGACGGCCTCGCCGTCGCAAGACTTCATGTGGACGAGGATCATGCCCTCGGAGCCGCCGTACCGCTCGGGGAAGAAGAGCTGGTGCGTGAACGACTGCAGCTCCGTCTCGGGGCAAACCGTGTGGCCGGCACACATGTCGAAGAAGGAGTAGAAGTCGAAATCGCAGCGGTCCAGGTACTTTTTCATCAGATCCTTCAGGTCGAGCGAGATTACCTCTGCTAACGCCGTCAGATCATCCACGGGGTCGTAAGTGGGGAAGGGGGACGGCCAGTTGTAGTCCAGGGTCGCGTCTGCGTTGATGAGCATCTCGCCCGGCTCGCCGTTGGCGGTGATCATTGCCGCCAGCGTCACCGGCTCGGGCGGAAACATCTTGTCGTAGGTCGCCTTCGCGGCTTCCGAGTCGGAGCCATAGGGAGGCTCGACCGACACCTTGAGCAGCCGCTGCAACGGGAGGTAGACGCCGACCCCGATCACAAAGAGGGAGATCCACAGCGAGAGGACCACGAGCCGAGGGCCGGTGCGGTTCAGAAGCGCGACATACCGCCGGAAGCTCGGCGGCACCTCTGCGTCGTCCTGATCGTCGTCGTCCAGGTCTTCGAGCTGCCGCTTCACCTCACGCCCTCTGACGACCGACAGGGAGCTCGTCTGCGTGGCAACGGTGACCCCGCCGCTGATGTCCTCGGTCTCCATGCCCGCACCGGACAGCGGTCGAGAAAGACGTGCTGCGCGCGCTAGAGGTCGGGCTGAGCTGCGGAGGCGCAGCACAGCTTCAAGGACCGCGTAAGGACCGAGGCGCACTCGCACACAAAAAGAATGGCACTTCGTGCGACGATGGCGAGGTACTCCCTGTGTGACTGCGAAGAGAGATAGGAAGAGGCAGACTCCCTAGGGTGGGCGACGGATAGCGCACCACACACCTCTCCTTAAAATCCCTGTGTGGTGGCGGCGTGCCGTCCTCCCATCCCTCCCTTGGGTTGTCTGTTTTCTTTCTTTCTTTACTCCCTGTGTGGTGGCGGCGTGCCGTTCTCCCATCCCTCCCTTGGGTTGTGTGTTTTCTTTCTTTCTTTAGGTACTTCCAGGTTCCAGCCTGCTCTGGGAACAGCTGACGCAGTCTCGCCGAGGCTCGCCCCAGCAGTCTCTCGGGTTGACTCGGCCAGACAAAAACCCCGAGAGGCGTGGGAGTACCTCGCCAGGTGCGACGGCGCCCCGCCCGGCACGCTTTTCTTTTCTCCCAATTGACTTCGAAAAAGCGCGAACCCGCACCGGCGCTTCCAACTGGCAAACCAGCGCACCGGCGCTTCCAACTGGCACTGATGTCTCTTTCGAAGTGGAAAGCGCTACAAAACGCCACTGCCACACACGACATGAGACTCGTCTGCGATGACGGATTGCATGTCACCGCTCACCGCTGCGTGATCGCACTTGCTTCGCCGGTGCTCTCGCAGCTGCTCTACGGCAACATGCCGCCGCCATCCTCGGACGGCTTCGCCGCAAACCTACAGCTGCCCGGGAAGCAGAGCAAAGCGGTTCAAGAGTTTGTTGCGTGGTGCTACACTGACCAGATCGCTCCCTCGTGCGACCCAGTCGCACTGCTGCACCTCTCGGAAGAGTGGGACGCCCCATCCCTCAAGGCTGGACTTGAGCCGCTTTTGATGGATGGCATTTCGAAGCTGACGTGCGTGGATGCGCTGCTCTGGGGCCTCGAGTTTCAGCTCGCCAAGTTGGCTTCCGCCGCGCGAGTCACGATTCTGGCAGAGTACACTCACGTCGCTGGCCTCCAATCGTTTGGCCGATTGCCCTTTTCAGAGTTGCGCGGCATGCTACAGGATGACAAGCTGGTGGTGCCGTCGGAGATGGTGGTGTTCGAATCGGTGGCCAGCTGGTGCGGGCAGCAGTCGTCAGCAGTCGACACCTCTGACGTCGTCCAGCTCCTCGCCTGCGTCCGCTACGCTTCGATGGAGACGGCTTTCCTCCGCGGGACCGTTGCAGTACACCCCCTACTTACTCGATGCGACGCAGCAGGCGAGCACGTGTCAGACGCGGTGCTGCATATTGCGGAGGAGGTGGACGCCGCCGCCGCGGTCAGCGTGGGCTCAAAGCGCCCGCGTGAGACGTCTATCCGTCCTTTGCCCTACAAGAAGCGTGCGAGGCTCACGGGCGAGTTCTGCACGTCGTCGGCCTCGCGGCCGTCCGTCAGGCTCGCCATTGCCTCTTCGGACGGCGTGCGGCTAGACTTTGATGCGGCCGACGCCTCGCCGCGCGCTCCAGGCTACTTTTACTGGCTCGGCACCTGTGCAGGCACGCGTGAGTGGACGAACCCCGCTCAAGAAGGCGAGATGGAGGTCAAGCTGGCCAACGATTATGAAAAACGCACCTTCGTTGACGAGCACCTCGTCCTCCTCCCGTTTGACAACACTGATCCAGAACGCGACATATACGCGACCCTCACGTCGCGGGAGAAGGACCGGCATAACTGCCCTATCTCGCACCTACAGTTTCAGCTGCCGCACCGCTTTGTCCTCACGGGATACGCATTCACGATTCTCAGTCGACATGAGGACGAGGACAGCGATAGCGACGAACACGTGGGATCAACAATCACTTGGGACGTGCTGACGTCAAAGGACGGCAACTGCTGGAAGAAGCTTGTGCGCAAGCAGGAGGCCACTCAAAGCACGGACCCCTTTGACGAGGTTCTATCGCGCTGCGTGACCGGAGCGGAGGCCCCGACCTTCTTTCCGATCCCCGTCGACAAGGTCGACACATCGGGCAGCCGCTTCTTCCGCTTCCAGGCTCGACATCCAAACTATTTAGACATTTGGCGGGTCGAGCTGTACGGCTCAGTGCAGTCGTCTGAGATTGCGACGCCCGCCGGCGAGCGCGGGCCCTCGTCTGGCGGTAGTGGATGCAACAGCGGTGATGACGGCAGCGACAGCAGCAGCGATGACAGCAGCGACGAGGGCAGCGACGACGGTAGCGGCGTGAGCGATGGCAACGAGGGCAGCTACGAGGACGGCAGCGAGGACGGCAGCGAGGACGGCAGCGAGGGGGGCAGCGAGGGAGGCAGCGAGGGCAGTGGCGAGGACGGTGGGGACAGCGACGGCTACTTCTGAGCCCCAGTCCCTGAGCTCCGACCAGTAACTGTACTACAACGCTGAGTGACTTCTCAGTAACTGAGTAGCGGTGAACATAGCTCTCGGCACGCCACCGCCAACGCGAGAGCTTTTTTTCTTTTTTACCAAAGGAACGCGCCAAAAACAGCGAACATGCGCCCGCCCATGCACAACCCGCGGCGTCAGCCCTGCTCGCTGGCGAGCTCCGGCAGCACCAGCGCCAGCCGGGCATACTCCCGCTCAAAGTAGTCCGCTTCGTCGCCGCGCTGCCCCTCGTCGCGCGCGCGGCAGAGTGCCTCGGCGAGCAGCGAGCGGCGGCGGCCCTCGGCTGAGGCGGAGCGGTCGAGCGACGCGAGGACCGATGTCGGCTGCGCGTACCGGAAATGCTGCGCGCACTTTTCGAGCAGGACCAGCAGCCGGGAGTGCACCGCGTGGGAGCGCGTCGCGGCGGGCAGCAGGAAGCCGAGCAGCAGGGCCCCGGAGAGCGCCGGCGTGAGCAGTGCCGGCCGGCCGACCACGAGCGAGACGAGCGAGCGAATCGAGTCGATCTGGCTGTCGAGCGGCACCGCCGCCTCGCCGAGCAGATGCAGCATCTGCGCGGCGCGCGCCTCCTGGCGCGGGCCGGCGGCGACGCGCTGCAACGTGTAGAGCAGCGCGAGGCGCATCATCGCCGGGTCCTTCCTCACAACCTTGCGCAGCGACTGCGGCGGCGGAGGCAGCGGCGGCGGCGGCCCCGACCCCTTCTCGGCGGCCTCGACGCCGAGCGCGTGCAGCCGATCGTCGGCCAACAGCATGGCAAGCAGGGGGAGGCGTCGGCAGAGGAGGCGCAGTACCTCCATCTCCCACTTCTCGGGTGCGAGTCTGCCGCTGCCGAGGAGCGAGACGGCGTGCGTGGGCAGCAGCAGCAGCTGCGCCAACGCGCAGAGCTCCGCGTCGTCGACCGGCAGCCCGGCGGGCGGCGGAGGCGGCGGCAGAGGCGGCGGCGGCGCGTCGTCGCCGCCCTCGGGTGGCTCGTACGCGGGAGAGGAGGGACCCGACTCGCCGGCCAGCGGCTGCGCGCCCGCGTCGACGAGCGCCTCGAGCCGCTGCATCACGGTGCGCGCGAGCTGCTGCGCGACCGGCCACGCTGCGAGGACCATCGCCGCGTCGGCGAGCCGGCTGCGCTGCGCCCTCAGCTCCGCCTCGTCCAAAGTCACGGCGGCGGCGGCGGCGGCGGCGGCGGCGGCCTCGGCGGCGGCCGCGCCGCGCCCCCCGCGCCCGCCGCGCTGCTTCTTGCGCGGCGGCTCCTTGGGCGGCTTGGGCGGCATGAGCGACGGGAGGTCCGCGACGGGCGGCAGCCCCTGCGCCGCGAGGTAGGAGAGCACCTGCCGAAGGAGCTTCCGGTCCGCCTCGCCGCGGCGGCAGCACAGGTCGAGGCAGGCGACGAGGGTGTGGGCGGGGTCCCACTCGGACAAGTTGGCGGCGGCGGCGCGCGGCGCGGCGGCGGGCACCCCCCCCGCCGGCGGACGGGCGCGGGCACCCACGGGCGCCGGCGCCGGCGCGTCGATGATCGCCATCAGCACGTCGCAGCGCAGCATCGCGATGAAGACGTCGAGAGTGTTCTTGTAGACGTCGTGCGACAGCTTGAGGAGCTCCTGGTAGACGGGCGCCTAGGCGGCGGGAGGCGGCTTCGGGCGAGCGGTGGGGAGAGCGGAGGGAGGCGCGCCGTCCGCGCCGACGAGCCGACGAGGCTGAGCAGCGCGGAGAGCGGCGCGATGGCGGAGCGGCGCTCAGCCGGCAGCTGCCTGGAGAGGCCGAGCACGTCGGAGAGCACACGCGTGTGCCGCGTCGGCGCGATGTACTCCATCAAGAGCGGGAAGAGCTGGTGGATGAACCGCTCGGGCGCCGCCTCGATGATGCGCCGCTTGGCGCCGACGGGCAGCGACGCGAGGAGCACCGCGCCGCCCACCGCGGCCGCCTCTATCACCACGGCCGGCACGGAGGGCGCGTGCTCGATGAGCGCGTGCGCCGCCGGCGCGAGCGCCTCGTCGCTCAGCGCGCCGGCGCCGACCACCTCGCAGAGCAGCGCCTCGGCCGCACCGGGCGCCATCTGCGGCACACGCGCGACGAGGCGGGCGCACGCGCCCGAGACGAGCGCCTCGACAGCCACCGGCCGCGCAACGCCCGCCACCGCCTCGACGCACTGCAGGGCGGATCGCATGTGCGTTGAGTCTGCCTGCATCGTGTGGAAATGCGAAAGCGGGAGTAATGACAAAACTCGTTTTTCTTTTGTGGCGAGGGACGGAACTGGGTCTCTCATCCACCTCAGTGGGCCACTCAGCGCTACGCCTACCCCCGCCCTCGCCAGAGGCAGAGCCGCGACCCGCGACACCGGAATTTCGGTGGTACGCCCTGCCAAGGGTTACACCGAGGGACGCCGCACGGCCCTGATCCACTCCGAGTGGAACGGGCGGCGTGTCGAGACGAGCCACTGCAGTGGAACATTTCGGCACGCGAGGAAGTGCGGAACCCGTAGGTAGAGACCAGACGTCGGTCGGCGGGCGCGCACGCAGACCACGGGGGTCTGGATGCATGCCGTCTCGCTTGAGATATGGGCCAGCCCCCGGGAGAGCCGGGCCCACATTAGTAGGAAGTGGTTTCCTAACGTGTGGGGTAGCAGTGTGCACAATAGCATGGTCCACTCCGAGTGGACCGTGTGCGTGCCTGTCGGAGCCACTCAGAGTGGCTCGACCTGTGGGATGTGCATAAGCCCTTCGCCTCGGGGTTGCAGTCGGTGCGTGACCTTGTGTTGCGTAAGTATGTACCTGGTTGACAAAAACACGCCGCAGTCTCGGAGGCGATCAAGTTCAGGGACTGGGGGGCGTACCCCGAGGGCCCCGCTCTTTCCCTCGCATAGCGGCCACTCTTCGGATCGCTGGTCGAGCGACCCGGGGGATGCCCCGCGCGCCTGACCCAGGCGCGAGAAACGAATCTGCGAGGCGTGGTCGCTTATGCGGCCCGATGGGGAGGAACGGGGCGAGCCCCCTCCAACCCACCCGCGCTAGGTCTCGGGTTTGACGCATGGGGTCACTCCCGCGAAACTCGTGAACTAGCCGGGGCAGTCGGAGAAGGGGCAACTCCGTGCACTGACGGTCGGCCGCCAGAAAACACGCCTGCGTGGATCGCGTCACACCAATCCTCGCTACCCAACGCGGCCAAAGGATATCCCACCTCGAGAACCTCGAGAGAGTTCAGGGACGCAACTCGCTTCATCTCGATCTCCCAGTTCGGCGCCGCTGGATGGCTCGACATGCGCCCTGATGGACTCCACCACACGAAGATGGTGTCGGCGATGTTCCTGACGGCGATACAGCGCAGGCACGGGCTCTACTTGTCGGTGATTGCGCCCACTCTCGTCGAGAAGGCTGCCGCGGGCGAGCACGTCACGGTGAGAGAGTACAAGGGCGACTTCCTCGCCAACTCCAACAAGGGCGACCGCACCTCCAAGCACAACGGGGTGCTAGGGCCGCCCAGAATGCCATCAGGGCGCGCTCGGTTGGCAGCATCATCCTTGGGGAAGGAAAAGCCCGAGGTGACGCGCGGCACCTCAACGACACGTCCGTGACTGACATCTGCGAGATCGGCGGCGACTTCGCCACGATGCGGGACGTGCACTACGAGGTCAAGTGCTGGAACTCGCTCATCAAGTCGACGACGGTGGGGAGGGGCCCGTGGGACAATGGTGGCAATGTGGCGTCGGTGGGCCACCTCTACGGGTTTGGAAACACGCTGGACAAGGCGTTGATGGGAGTCGTGGGGTGCAAGGAGCGTGGCCGTCAGGTGGACGGACCGCTCGACCACTCGACTGGAAAGGGATGGGTCAAAGACCACGCGTATGGAAAGGGGTGGGTCAAGACGGATACGGGCTGGAAGTGGACGGGGGCGCAGTACTCGACGCGAAGTGGGTCAAGAAAGCCATAACGCGGCTGGTGCTCGTGGAAACCTTGGGAGGCATTGCGCCGCCCACCGAGCAGTTTCTCCACGTGTTCGCCAAGGAGGCGGCGGGCACCAACACGGACCGGACGGTGTACGGGGCGGCGTCGGCGAGAGCGCCTCCTCCTTCGTCGTCCACCACACGCAGCAGATCTCCAAGGCGGCGGTGGCGGGCGACGCCGAAAACATCAACAAGCAGGCGCGCAAGGAGCGTACCAACTGGATCAACAAGCAAAAGAACAAGCAAGCGACAAACGGCTTCTTGTCCTCGGCCCCAGAGGCAGAGCGCCGACGGCTGGCTCCGAGTCGTAGTGAGCCGCGGTATCGATCAGCCGATAGCCCGCCTCGAGACCAGCCAGCACCAGCCCGCCCTTTGTGTCGGCGTCGTCACAGCAGGTCCCCAGGCACGTGCCGATGGGGTCGAGGCGGCAGTCGCGGGCTTCAGAGCCCAGGCAGAGTGCCGGAGGAAGCGACGAGCGGCGCCAGCAGTCCGGCCGTTTGCCGTCGGGTGAGCACCATTCACTCGCTAGTGGGGCCAGCGTTTGACTCGCCGCTAGCTGGTTTGTCGACGGCCTCGCGGCGGAGACGGTCGGCGGGGAGCGGCGATGCCGATGGGAAGGGTGGATTTCGCACTTGTTGGCGTGCGCAATCGGGCCTGTGCCTCGGCGATAACGTATCCACCGGCGAAGACTGGATTCGGGACAAGGGCTGGGTGGGGTGTCGGTCGGTAAATCAAGCAGTGGAGAAGAGGGAGTGCGTGCGATTACTGACGTACGAACGTACGGGAACCAACGGCGGTGTCGCAGGAGCTGCGCAGGAGCGCGCTCCCTATACTCGGCGCGCTGCGCTGTCACATTGCTCCGGTACTCGATCGGGCGTTCTCAGCTCTCCGCGACGCGGAGCGCGCGCATCGCGCCCTTCAGCTCCGCCACCTGGTCGAGCGCGTCGCCGAGCAGCCCCTTGGCCACGCCAAAGTCGCGCAGCTGCTCCACGCCGCCGCTCGCCCGCACCTCGGCGGCGTGGTCGGCCACGAAGCGGCGGCACTGCGCGAGGAGCCGCCCGTCGCCCGTCGTGTGCGCCGCCTCGAGCAGCGGCACGGCGGTCGCCGGCGCGACGCTCTCCTGCAGCGCCTGCGCGCAGAGCAGCTCGAGGCGCGGCACCTGGTACATCTGCGCCAGCTCCCGCAGGTCGAACGCGCGCTGCGCCCTGCCGCCCTCCTCCTCGCCGAGGTCGAACTGGTCGGTGAGGAGGTAGCGGACGAGGGCAGTGAAGCTGGCGAGGTCGGTGTGGGACACCGTGACCTCGGCGGCGTCGCGCTCCTTCATGCCGATGCCGAACATGGTCCGGAAGACCGGGGACCGGGCGCAGAGGTTGCACTTGCTCACGTGCTCGATGCGCTCCTCGTCGTCGCCGACCAGGAAGGTGACTTTCCCCTCTGGGAGGGTGGCGTCGCCCCACGTCTTCGCCATGTCGGCGGAGAAGGTGGAGGGCGGAACGACGATCGGGGCAAAGGAGGGAGGCGGAGGAGGCGTCGCCACGCAGACCTGGCGGAGGCGGCCATCTCTCGTTTTGACCAACAGCGCTCTGCCGTCGGAGCTGATGGCGACTTCATCTGGGCTGGCGAGGTCCGCCGCGTCGCCCACGCCATCGACGATGCCCGTGGTGCCACTGCCCGCGATCGTCGTCACCGCGCCAGTCGCCACCTCAACCCGCCGGATCTTGCGGTTGTCATGATCGGCCACAAACAACGCGCTGCCGTCTGGGCTGATGGCGATGCCACGTGGGTCGTAGAACTCCGCCGCGTCGCCCACGCCGTCCGCGTCGCCACCCTCGCCGCTGCCCGAGATCGTCGTCACCGCGCCAGTCGCCACCTCCACCCGCCGGATCTTGTGGTTCTCGCTGTCCGCCACAAACAGCGCGCCGCCGTCTGGGCTGATGGCAAGGCCACGTGGGCCGCAGAACTCCGCCGCGTCGCCCACGCCATCCGCGTCGCCATCCTCGCCGCTGCCCGCAATCGTCGTCACCGCGCCAGTCGCCACCTCCACCCGCCGGATCTTGTGGTTGTTGAAGTCCGCCACAAACAGCGCGCCGCCGCCTGGGCTTATGGCGATGCCACCTGGGTAGCAGAACTGCGCCGCACCGCCCACGCCATCCGCGCTGCCCGCTGTGCTACTGCCCGCGATCGTCATCACCTCTCCCGTCGCCACCTCCACCCGCCGGATCTCGTGGTTGATGAAGTCCGCCACAAACGCCGCGCTCCCGTCGGGGCTGGCCGCAGCGGTGTAGTAGTTACTTGCCGGCAAGGCTGCTACGCGGCGCACGCGCCCGGCCGCCGAGACGTGCAGCAGCGAGTCCTTGGTCGAGACGTACCAGGCGCCCGCGTGGTCGCTCGCGACGCCAACCTGACCGAGCGATGCCAGAGGGCCGTCCTCGCCCTCGATCGGCAGCGTGGTCACCTGGCCGTACACGCGCGCGCCAAAGATGGGCGCCTCGAAGCCATCCGCGACCGGCACGGCCTCAACCTCGCCGCCGCCGCCGGTGCGGGCGCGCTTGCGGGCGGCGGACGCATGCATGCGCGCGCCGAGTGGGATGGATTCGGGACACGGCCTGGATCGGTACTCCTAGCCCTTCCCGTCGACTTCCGTCGAAAGAAGAAAACAGCCACCCCTCTACCCCTCGACAGCAGCTCGACACCCTCGACACCGGGCCTCGACACCTCGACACCCAGGGCTCAGGACGCGGCTCGAGGGGCGACTCCCGCGGAAGCACGGCTGGCAACCGTGGCGCGGGGCTCGTCCTCGAAAAAGTCGGGTATGGCTCCGCCCGCAACTCTCTCGCTGACACGCGCGCCCCGTCGACCTTACGACGGGCGCGCTGCGGTCGCACGCCTACCCAAGTCAATGCCACGGCGTGCGGCCTAGAATCAGCACACGCGCCTCTGCTCGCATACACTCATACAATGAATTGACATCTCCCATGAGTGCGAGTTGGGCTAGCTGTAGGCCGCTAGCCTCTGAGGAGGGCGTCCATTAGACACCTCACAAGACCCCACACACGGTCTCGTCCGCAGCCGCGAGCCCCGTGGACTGAGCCGCTCAACTGCACGACATACGGCGAAGCTTGCCGCGAGGCGACCGCAGAGATCCAGGGATTGGCAAATTGTGTGTGCGCGGCCCCTCCGACACCCGAGTCACTCACACCTCTGGAGAGTGATTCTCGACAGCCTGTAGCCCGCGCGCGGCACTCGAGGCTACACGCGCGCACTGCCGTGGGAGCGCTTTCGCTTCCCATTTTGTTGTACTGTGAAGAGTCTTCGGTCGGAAAACGCTTGGAGACGTCAGGTTCATCCGCAGCTGCATCATGCACAGAGCCGCGGCCTCAAATCGTTTTGGTAAATATAAAACGCGCGGCTGGGCGGGGGCCGTGGGGCGCGCGCCGGCGCGGAGGGGCCGGGGTTGAGGCCCTTGTATTTTCTGTGGTACCCGTGGCCAAGCTCTTATACCACAGCCGTACAGACGGCTTTTACCGTGTGGTTGGTGCAGTTGGCGCACGTGCCTGTGTGTGGGATAGGGCGCCATGTGGCGACGCGCGCGCTCCGGGTATTTTTCGGGTATACCTGAGAATTCTCGGGTATACCCGGGTTTTACCCGGCCGGCCACCTGGGTCGGTCCGAGGGTGTTCCAGGAATGATCAGAATGGCGAGGGCCAGAACGTGTTACATGTACTAGTCAGAACGGACCCCAGTTGCCGTTCCTGCCAACTCAGGCGAGAATCACAGACCCCACGAACGAGACGCTACGCCGGAGGAGGCTCAGGGAGAGGAGACGACACAGAGGAGGAAGGGAGGGCCGCGAGGTGGAACGTCGGCAGCGGAGCGTACCTAAGTAAGTCGGTAGGGAGGGGTCGGCTGCCCGAGTGCCCGTGTCCGGGTGTGGAGATGCGAGGGTTGCCCCCCCCCCCCCCACACACACCTCTAAGTGCCTAATCTAACTATTCCCAACAACAACAATCCCTGTAAAAAGAAATTACCGTGCGCCTCGCGTACCGGGACTCGAGTACCCCCCTGGACATTGCATGATGGAGCACTTCCGCGTTGAGGAAACGACTATCGCCGACATCCACGCGTCCTATCGCGCCGGCGCAATCACGTGCGTGCAGCTCACGCAGGCATACCTCGACCGCATCGCTGCGTATGACCAGCGAGGTCCGACACTCAACTCGTCTAGTGACCTATACAGCTCCTCCGTGTTCCGTCTCCTGACACGCATACACCGCCGGCTAAGCTTTCGCCGCGCTCTTCAAGAGAGAGAGAGATTTGTGTTTTGCTCTTCTTGCGCGAGAAAAAAGAAAGTCGGTGGACGGCTGCTCGCTCGCAATGCCTTGAAGCCGCTGCATAATAAATAGAGGAGGCATCTCCAGGAGAGATGGCGCACGAACGCAATTTAGCGCTCGCAATCCTATAAGCCCTGTTTTTCAAAGGACAAAAATCGCAAACCCTGTCAGCAGTTCACCTACGGGTATGTTCGTAAGAGCTACATACACTGAAAATCAGAAAATCAGAAAAGAAAGGGGTCACCGGCCTGAATCAGCGTCGCACCTTGCCGGCCTCTGCAATTTCGCTGTGGGAGACAGTGGGACGAGCATGGAGTGGGCCAGGCGCAATTCGCCGCTGAACAAGTTGCTGTTCCCAGGAGCTGGACAGGAGTCAACATATCACCCCACCGGAAACTTCCTCTACGATGAGGACGACCGAGCGAAGCTGCTGTGGTTCCCGCTCGATCTCAGCAGCAACATGGAGATCCCAACTGTGTTTATTCTTCCAAAGACTGCTTGCGACGTTGTGATGATTTACTTTCACGGCAACGGCGAAGACATCGGCTGCTGCATCGAAACGTGCTCTCGCTTGGCGGACGCTCTCAACGCCGTGGTCTTCGTCCCCGAATACCCGGGCTATGGAGCTTCGCGCGGCACGCCATCATCCGAGAGCATCGACGCGATTGCCCGTGCGGTAACAACCTCGATCTGCTCGCAAATTCAAGTACCGCCCTCCCGTATCATCATCATGGGCCGCTCTATTGGCACAGGCGCAGCAGCAGCACTCGCAGCGTGGCTTAACAGCCCGAGTTCAACTATGAACAACCGCCAGCCCGCGGCGGCACTCATACTGCACTCGCCGTACACAAGCATCCGTGACATGGCGAAAAGCATCGTCGGGGCCGTGGGAGGTCTCATTCTTCAGCGGTGGAACACTGCAGACAACCTTAAGCGCGCCGGCTGCCCAATCCTCATCCTGCACGCACCCAATGACGACGTGATACCCTTCCGACAAGGCGAGTGCTTGTTTAACGCGCGCCATTATTACGGAGCTCCTTGTGAGCTCTTCACCCAGAGCAGCGGCGCCGATCACAACACCTTTGATTTGGCTTCCGACGTTATCCAACCTTCTTGGGAGTTTGTGTCCCGGCACTGTATTTTGAGCTCCCTGCAATGCAGCTCAGCGGTATCAAACCCATTCAGCCTAGACCGCGTGCAGGCAACCTGCGCGACATTGCGGCAGCTCTTCAAATGCCCACCTGGAGTGCTGAGAGGCCGACCACCCGCCACGCTTTTGCAGCGAGTTGGCCGCTCTTTGGGCAACAGCATGACGTCCTCGGCTGCTCTATCCGCGGCTGCCGTTTCCGGGTCGTTAGCTAGCAGCGTGCGCGCTACAGCAGGCGACTCAAACCTCGAGGACCGGGCAGCGCTTCAGAGGAGCGGGCAGGCCCTTCAGGGAGTCGGCACTGCAGTCGCCGCCGCAGCAGCCATCGTGCCTCCTGCGGCGCCGCTGCTGGTGCCCATCGGTGCTGCCACAACCATATCGGGACTTGCAGCGAGCTCGGCATCCTCGGCTGGACAAGAGCAACCGCGTCCTCACTTCATCAGTCAAGGGCAGAGCCACGAGGAGCCACTTATCAATCTGGACGAGGAGTGAGTTTGCATCGCCTTGCCATGTAAGTTCGACGAGGAGTGAGTTTGCAATACTAGACGGTTTGGCCGGCGCCATGTGGCGCCGGGCCCCGCCCTCCAGGGCGTCTGGTGCCAGCGACGCAAACGGCAAGTGTTTTGCGACGGGTACTTGTAGTGTTAGGAGCAACACGACGCCGATCGTTGAAAGTAGCTACCACTCACACACACACACACGCCTCTAACCAACTGGCTCAGTTGAAGAGGCCGCTCCCACAGCTCTCACACCTACCTCTCTGGTACACAATATTGGAAGCGTTGTGAATTGTAGACCATTGGCCCCCTAAAAATCTCTCTCTCAACTCTCTCTCCGTAAGACTTCAGAGAAGGCAAGCCGTGAAGTTGTCCACCGTCTCGGCGTCGACAACAACTCTCGAACCAGTCGTGCTGCGGGAACGGCCCCTCTGATTGCTCTGACAGGCACGCCTTGCACCTCACCATGGATCCGCGGCAGAAGCCAATCCCGCAACGCTTTCAGGAAAGAGAGGAGGAAGACGCATACCAAAACTGCTCCAATCAGTAGCTCCATACGTTGCCTTTCACTGTGTAGGAGTTGTTGCAGCTTCTCGATCTTTGAGGTCTTGTCCTGCAGCAACATTTTCTGCTTCCAAATGTAGTCTAATACGTCATCGCACCTCCGCCATGAGGACGGCCTTGTGCGAGCGCTGTCGTTGAGAACGAAGCGGCCCGAGTGTTCTGTTGCCTTCAAGACATATTACATATTTCCTGAGCTGAGGTAGCTCGTTCCCTTGGTGAGGGCGGTCGTGTTCGTCATGGCCGGGTCGTGCATGTACGTCTGGGCGACGTCCGTCGGACTACGGTCCGTTTAGCAGGTCTTTGGATCGGCTTCAAATCGTCCTCCTTGACGCCGCTCGCGATGTTGGTACGGGCGAGGTCGAGTGTCTCGGTCATGGTTTTGAAGAGGGAAGTCGTGCGTCCCGCCTCGAGCTGCAGATCCCGGCCGGTCACATTCGTGTACGTGTCCCGCTGATACGCAAGGTACTGTCCAGTTGTGGGCAACCAGTGGCTCTGAATGCGCATGCCGAGGATCGAATCTGACTCAAAGCGCACGGGGTTGGTGCCGCCGACCGTCGGGAGGAAGCCGAGGAGTGCCAGGAGGATCCAGAGGGCGCCGACGGTGCCGATTCCGCCGCAGAGAGTGGCGGTCGAGGCCAGGCCGTGCGCGTGGGCCGGTCGGGCTCGGTCCCGCGGCGGGCGACCAGACAGTCGTTTGGCCCGTTTGAGGCTGAAAGGATGACCGCGGACGATGAGGGCGACGATACATCGCGCCTGCTTTGGACGCAAAGTCCAGACCCACTGGCCTGAGGGGAGGGGCCTGGAATCCTGCCAGCACCTCCGCGCCGAAAAGCGTGATTGAGGATTTTCTGACGCCAGCCCCGCCGGGCGCCGAACGTCACTTAAGGGAACTGCGCGACGACGACGACATTTCTGACCGGGAGCGATCACCACCGCCCTTCCGATGGTGTTTGCCGGTCGGGGGGGCGTCGGCAGCACCGCCGTTCCGCGCGGATGTTGCAAACGGTGGCTCGGGGCACCTATTTCGGCAGCCCCGGGGCGGGAGCCGAGGAGGGGCAGCCGTTGCGGTGGCGCCTTCGCAGCTCGGCGGCGCGTGGGGAGCCGAGCGGCTCCCAGCGATCCCGCGAGAGAAGGGCCCGCATCCGTCCCGGATGCCGCGCCCACGCTGCCCGACGCAAGCGCCAGATGGGAGAGGAGGTTGGCAGCCTTTCTGCGCTTCGAGGTGCAAGAGAGAACTTGTCGCCAAGCCTTCGTATTTAGCGGGATGGCCAGAGGGGGGGGAGAGCCCAATGTGTTGCCCGACTTTGTGCTCGGAAGGCCGCCCCCCTCCGCCTCGGCCAGCGCCACCACCTCGTCGCACTCGGCCGCCGAGAAGAGCGGCGCCTCCGTCACGTAGATGGAGTGCTCCTCCTCGCCGGCGCAGCAGGGCGACGGCCATGGCGAGACTGGGATGGCTCATCACAGCAACGCGCGTTTGCACTCGCGGGAGCGGTTAGCGGAGGCGCGTTCACCGGCGGCGAGGCGCGGGAGCAAAGGGCAACAGGCAAATGAAGGTCGGTTCGGTCTCTTTGCCGGTAGGGGGGTACGTCCCGGTCTTCGCCCAGACGATGGCAGGGTGCCCGCCCTCCACCCAGCTCCCCACACACACTCTCTGGTGTCTGAGAGATGCTCGCACTCTGCTCTCAGACACGCCAATGGCACTGGCTATGCCACTTCCCCGCGCCACCGCCCACCCTTCGTACGGCTGTGGGAGCTCCCGGCGGGGGCCTCGAGGGACTGCACGCGCGCCCGCGCGGCGCGGGGCCCAGACCACAGCCACGATCGTTCACAAGAGAACGCACCCCAGAGTACGAGAGACCCTTCCCCATGGTTGCCACTGCGCCAGCTGTCCTTGCGCGCGGGCTAGGCCGCCTCCCGCGCCCTGGCCCTCGCAGCGGCACCTGACGCGCGCCTCGCCTTGGCTGCGGCGAGCGCCGCCTCTGCCGCCGCCGCCGCCGCCTCGGCCGCCGCTACTGCCGCCTCCTCCTCCGCTGCGGCAGCCTCCTCCTCCTCTGCGGCCGCCTCAGCCGCAGCCTCCGCCTCAGCCTGCCGGCGCGCCTCCGCTGCCGCCTCCGCTGCCGCCTCCTCGCCCTCCTCCTCGCCCTCCTCCTCGCCCTCCTCCTCGCCCTCCTCCTCGGCCGCCTCCGCCATCTCTTCGTCGCCCTCCTCCTCGCCCTCCTCCTCGCCCTCCTCCTCGGCCGCCTCCGCCGTCTCCTCCTCGCCCTCCTCCTCGCTCGCCTCGCCCGCCGCCTCTCCCAGCGCCTCCGCCAATCCCTCGACCGACGTCTCCGGCGTGATGCTGAACCGAATCCTATCCTCGTGGAGCTCCGCGAGAAGCTTGAGCAGCCCCTCCCTGTCCAACGGCGCGGGCTTGGCAGCCGCTGCCTCTGCCGGCGCCTCCTGCGACGGCCCAGCGCCGCCGCTCCCGCCGCCCTTCTTCTTCTTCTTGCCCTTCTTGCCCTTGGCGCGCTTCTCCGCCTCGACCTCCGCCAGCAGCTCCTCGGCGTGCCGCGCCGCCTCCTTCTCCTCCGCCGCCCTCTGCGCCTCCCTCTCCGCCGCCCCCGCAGCCCACGCCGCCTCCTTCGCCGACTTCTCGGCCGCCACCTTGGCCGCCGCATGCTCCTCGAGGACGCGCACGCACTCGGCGTGGCCCTCCTCCTTGGCAATCTGCAGCGCCGTCATGCCGCTCGAGCGCAGCGTCATGTCTGCGCCCGCCCGCAGCAGGCAGAGAAGGGCGGCGGGGTGGCCGTAATAGGCGGCGAGAATCAGCGCGGTTTCGCCGTTGTTGGCCTGCAAGTTGATCTCTGTGCCGTGCCGGATCAGCGTGTCTACAACCCGCTCGTGGCCTCTGTAGGCGGCGTCCATCAGCGCAGTGCTGCCGTTGGGGCCTTTCTGGTCGATCTCCGCGCCACGCCGCAACGCCAGCTCGACCATCTTCTCGCGGCCGTTCGCGGCGGCGAACATCAGCACGGTGCTGCCGTCGCTTTTCTGCAACGAGACATCCGCGCCGCGCCGCAGAAGCGCCTCGGCCAGCTCCACGTGGCCATTGGCCATCACGACCATCAGCAGCGTCATGCCGCTCGCACGAGAGCCGTCACCAAAGGTGCACTCGAACCTCTCGTCCACCCGCCCGCCGCCGTCGAACCACGACAGCACCGTTGCCTCTTCGCCTCGCTCAGCCGCTTGCACGACCTCCTTTGGCACCGCCTCACTGCCCGGCGCGGCCTCCGCACCGCCCTCGCCGCTCGAAGCAGAGGCCGCAGCACTGGCGCCCGCCGCCGCCTCGCCTGCGGGTGCGCCTCCCGCCCCTGCGCCGCCCGCCTCGGCCGACGGCGCCTTGCTCCGCGCCACCGCCACCTCGCCGAGATACGTCCTGACGGCCTCGACGCACTCGGCGTGGCCCTCCTCCTTGGCAATCTGCAGCGCCGTCATGCCGCTCGAGCGCAGCTTCATGTCTGCGCCCGCCCGCAGCAAGCGGAGCACAACGGCGGGGCGGTTGTGGAAAGCGGCGGCCATCAGCGCGGTGCTGCCGTGCTTGCGGTCCTGCAGATTGATCCGTGCGCCGTGCCGCAGCAGCATCTCGGCCACGCGCTCGTGGCCGTTGGCGGCGGCGACCGTCAGCGCCGTACAGTCTTCGCCATCGCGCGCGTCCGCCTCCGCGCCGCGATTCAGCAGCAGTTCGACTAGCTCTTTGTGGCCGTGTTCGGCGGCGATCAGCAGGAGCGTACAGCCACTCACGCCGCGACGCACGCACGTCGCGTCAACCAGCCC